ATTTTCCAATGTGTAATGTATGTAACAAGTGTACAAAATATCAATACATATTTATCCAATTGCTTTGCCAGTGTATTTTTTATCCCATAACCCTAAAAAGCCTAAAATAAAATTGAATATGGCGCCAAATTGAAAGCTAGGTGTCTCAGAGCGCTGCCAGCGGTGCTCAAAGAGTGGGAGGTCTAAATAGTATGTAGTCTGTGCTCTACACACACTCTCATTGTAATCCATAATAACACAAGGCATCACTCAATTTCAAAGAGGAATAAACTTAAATTAAGTACAAGCATTGGAGGTTTAATTACATTCACTTATTATCGTCGGCTTGGGCATTGCGCTCAAGTAAAAATAACAGCAAACCGACATTGGTGCAACAAATGCAATAAAAGCAGCGAAACCACCCCCAACCCACATTTGAACACACGCAATTTGTGAACAGAATCAAGAAAAAGAAGATATCGAACAATATCTATGGCATGATAGAATCAAACACTTCTTTGAATCTCAGGAAAATCCATTCAAACCAATTCAAAAAAGAGAAAATAAAATTAATTTCAGACATTCAAATTAAACCACCTCTTCAACAACAAAATATAAAAACTCCTCGTAAACCCCAAACAACTCAAACACACATACAGCTTTTGAAAAAGCCCAATCAGTAAGTCCCAGTAAATCCGGAACAATTCACACGTCAAAGGAAGACCCAATTTTAGGCGCACCATACGTGAATAAAAGTGTAAACACTTTCAAAAATCATGTCATTTTCAAATGGTCCACTAAAGAAAAATCTTACTTAAATATCAAAAAATTATTTGTCACAAAGAAAAGGATTATCATGTTTATAACACAGGAACCAACATGACTACACATGCTACATGAAATAGACTATTTACCACCCGATAGCTATTGCCTACATTTTAGTAACAAAGAATTGGAACCCTTATTAATGAAAGTATTTCAAGAAACTTTTAAAAATAATGCTTACAAACTTGCCATTTCTAACACTCTACTTGAAGATATTACTGATTCTGATGAACAGAAGCAAATAATAGAAAGATATCACGTAATGAAAACTTCACATCGCGGAATGACTGAAAATATAAAAAATATCAAGCAAACTTATTATTGGCCCACATTAGAACGAGACGTAATAAATTACGTAAATACCTGTGAAACTTGTCAAAAATCTAAATATGAAAGACACCCATACAAATTGGTGTACAAACCAACCCCAACTGGCACTAAACCTTTCGAAGATATCTATATAGATATATATTCTCTGACAGGACAAAAGTTCCTAACAATAATTGACAACTTTTCAAAGTTTGCAACCGCCTACCCTTTAAATGAAAATTCAATCGAAATATGTCAAAATCTAGTAAAGTTCTTCTCACATCATGGAACACCACAAAAATCACGAGTGATAATGCCTCTACTTTCAAAAGCACTCTAATTCAAGACGTATGTAAAACGTATCAAATTGAGTTACATTTTACAACTCCTTACAACCCAAATTCGAATTCACCAGTTCAAAGATTCAATTCAACGCTCAAGGAAGCCCTTATTTCTTTAAGAAGTAATTACCCCTCTAAAAATGTACAAGAACTAATTGACATTGCAATGATAAACTACAATAATAGTATTCATTCTTCATACGATTATACTACTTCACAAATAATCAGGCAATCTAAATTACCAATTAAATTTTGACAAAAACATTAATCAACTGTAAAGTGATTACATCCACGATTTGTCAGAAATATTTAAAGAATTAAATGAAAACATCCATTCTAAATTGAATGCCAGGAAAGCCAACGTTCTATCAAAATTAAATCAAAATCGCGAAGACGATCCCGAAATTCTAGAAAGTTCTAAACAATTAATAACTACACCTCACAAAATGTCCAAAAATCTAAATCCCAAATACAAAATTCAAACCTTCCAAAATCAAAGACATCCAAAGGACATTAAAAGAAAACCTTTTTAATTTCAGAAAATGATCATTTTGATGCTACTACCCCTTCTAGTTGTAGGAGAGAATAAAATTGAAAAAAATGATAATCCAGTACTTCCCGTTAATGAAGGAACAAGCTATATTGCAACAAATTATCATCACATTTATTATCACGTAAATCTGACCAACATTGGAAAAAGCATAAAATTTACAGAAAAACCACTATTGCAAACAGAACGATTTATAAAAGATTCTCCAATAGAGAATCCTGTTTCCAAGCTTTTACCTGAAAAAACAAGTTATTTATTTAATCAAAACACATATCTTTTGTGTCACATTACACCACTCAACGAACAAATTAAGGATTATTTAATTTCATTGGGAAATTCAAAAAATATCTCTATGGAAGTCTAGACGCTGACGATGGAGAAAGATTCGAAAACTATATAAATATCCTTCAAGAAAATCAAAACACGCAAAACAATGACTCGTCGCAACACAGACGATTGTTAAACGATTATCAAAGGACAAAGAGGCACAATTGTCTAGCGTTAATATAAACCAGAAGGAAATTCAAATCCGAATCAACATCACAACTACTACTATCATACTACGGCGTATCTTATCATATTACGTTATCAAGTATCGTGAACTTGAAAATATAATTTTCAAGCTAACCCCTGAAACACGAATCCCTTTTGATAACATCATAAAATACTACGAAACTGCATAAGTCGATGTAACGATTAAAAACGACTTAGTAATATTTTACATCGCAATTCCCTTAATATCTGGAAAATCTGGAACTCTATTCCATTTGTACCCAATTCCAATTGAAAACCAAATAATGTCAGTAAATAATCCATATTTGCTAAAATCTCCAAATGAGTCATTCAATTTGAAAG